TAGACAACCCAATGCTCACCCTTCTGAAGCTGTTCGAGGCACTCGAAGGTGATTTCGAATTGGTAAGAGGCGGTGAAAGGAGCCGGGTTGTTGAGGTTTTTCACTCCGAGGAGTGAGACGACGGACATTGTGATAAGATATGAGGGTATGTACGGGGAATTAAAGAGTTGAAGAGGCAAGAGTGGAAGATTGTATAAACAGGGGGTTGAAGAGAAGAAGAAAATAGGAAAAAGTAAGAGAAATCAACAGGTCCACAAGAATGCAGTTTACTCTCAACCCCTCTAGCTCAATGCGAGGAGCCCATCGATCGACGCGCCTTTCGCGTCCCTCGCATTATCCTCACCGCCCGCACGTGACCCCAATTTCACTACCCGGGCAACTTGCATCACAGCCATCGCAGCTTTGCTCTTCCTCTCTTGGCCATTATTTGCTATCAGACACATTGCGGCCGAGGGTTTTCTCGTCAAAAGTGGCTGTGCTCCACCTTAACCCTTGACCTTCGGAACGTTTGTCTTTATTTTAACTCATCCAGATATCACATCGCGCAAACCCTGCTTCGGCTTGCGCCGTGTACCTGTGACTTTCTCAGCAGCTCACTTTTCTCCGACTTTGCGTTTATCGCATCAATCACCTTATGATGGCGGACGATGAAGCTGAGGCTGCCTTCTTCCAGGCTCAAGCCTTGAATACTGATTCCCAATCCCCCACTGTGGAGCAGGATGGTGATAACTCAGACGCAGAATCAGATGACTACGACCCCTCACTGGCATTGGGGGATCAGTACTCGGCCTCTTTCCCCGAGACCAAGCAACCTGATGCCGGCCCCACTGATGCAGCTCCCTCGGATGAGACCGAAGATTCAATCTCCAACCCGATCGTCGCCTCAGACGCAGATGTCGCCTCAGACGCAGAAGCTGGCCAGACCATTGACTCCCCCGATCCTTCTCAGAACCCCTCACGTGCTGAGTCGTCGACCCCCGTGCCAGCATCTGCTGCTGAGGCACAGCCCAAGACCCGAACAATTGGCGGATTTGAGGTTGATGATGACGAGGATGACGAGGGTGATGCGGAGTATGAGCCGCCGGCTGTACTTGGGGGTGAAGATGTCAATGCTATGCCTGTGACCATGTCTGAAGATCCCAGCTCAGGAAATGCAATGCAAAACACTTCCCCTGATGTATCATCATACCAAGCTGAGCAGGCACCTGCCAGTGGATCAGATGTTGCCAATAGTTCTTATTCTCCTGATCTTGTTCTTAATATTGATCCCTCTTCTGTTCCTGGACAATCGCACTGGGCTGCGCAAGACTTGCCATCCGCAACCATGCAGAACAGTACTGTTCCTACTTCTGTACCTGACTCTCCAGCCTCAAAGGGTCGTCTGGCCCATGACCGTGTCGGCATGCTGGAAGACCGGATTCGAGAGGATCCCCGAGGTGATATCCCTGCTTGGTTGGAGTTAATTGCCGAGCACAGAGGCCGCAGCAGACTAGACAGCGCACGCGAAACCTATGAGCGGTTCTTGAAGCTGTTCCCCATGGCGGTAAGCTTACCTTTGCTCCCTTTCCTTGTGCTTCCTTTTTTTTTCTCTTGGCAAGGTACAAGATTGCTAATAGGATACATATTAGGCCGACCAATGGGTGGCTTATGCCAGCATGGAGTCTGAGCTCAATGAATTCTTCCGCTTGGAGCAGATCTTCAACCGAACGCTCCTGACGACCCCCAGTGTTCAGCTCTGGTCTGTCTACCTTGATTACATCCGTCGTCGTAATCCTTTGACAACAGATGCCTCTGGTGAGGCAAGGAAGACCATTTCATCAGCATATGATATGGCCATTCAATATGTTGGGATGGACAAGGATTCTGGAAACATCTGGACAGACTACATTGAGTTCATCCGTTCTGGGCCAGGCATCGTTGGTGGATCTGGGTGGCAAGATCAACAAAAGATGGACCTACTGCGAAAGGCCTACCAACGAGCCATTGGCGTGCCGACTCAGGCTGTCAATACTCTCTGGAAAGAATACGATCAATTCGAGATGAATCTAAACAAGCTTACGGTAAGCTGGACAGTACTTGAATCCAAGTGGCTTATATTAATCTTTTTTTTATCAGGGTCGCAAATTCCTCCAAGAACATTCACCGTCCTACATGACTGCGCGCAGCTCGTACACCGAATTGCAGAACATCACCCGCGATTTGATTCGCACTTCGCTTCCACCACTACCTCCTATTCCGGGGTCTGAAGGCGATGTTGAATACTTAGCACAGGCAGACATCTGGAAGCGCTGGATCGCATGGGAGAAAGAAGATCCTCTAGTACTGAAAGAGGAAGACCCTGCTGCTTACAAGTCACGCGTGGTGTACTTCTACAAACAGGCACTCATGGCATTGGCCTTCTTACCTGAGATGTGGTTTGACGCAGCTGAGTTCTGTTTCCTGAACGATATGGAAGATGCCGGCACAGAGTTCTTGAAGAATGGAATTGATGCAAACCCAGAGAGTTGTTTGCTGACATTCAAACGCGCGGACCGACTGGAGGTTACCTCAGATCCGGAACAGGATTCCGCCAAACGCGCTGCCAAGGTCCGGGAACCATACGACAAATTGCTTGATGCACTTTACGAGTTGATCAACAAGGCTCGCAGCCAGGAAACCCAGGATGTTTCACGCATTGAAGCCTACTTCGCTCCACAAAATGCGGAGAGCCAACCTCAAAACGAGGATGAGGATGATCCTGAAGCTAAAGAAAGAGAAGCCGCCAAGACGGCACAGATTGATGCGGTCCGAAAGGCCTATTCCGTTCAGATCAACATTATCTCCAAGACTGTTTCCTTCGCATGGATCTCTCTCATGCGCTCGATGCGTCGAATCCAGGGTAAGGGAAAACCAGGAGAAATGGCTGGCTCTCGCCAGATCTTTGCCGAAGCCCGGAAGCGAGGTCGGATTACCAGCGATGTTTATATTGCGAGTGCTCTGATGGAGTACCATTGCTACAAGGATCCGGCGGCCACCAAGATTTTCGAGAGGGGTGCAAAACTATTCCCGGAGGATGAGCACTTTGCGCTCGAATACTTGAGGCATCTGCTTGACATTAATGATACCATCAGTAAGTCTGCATTTCATGTTTCTGAGAGATTTACTAACCACTGCCAAAGATGCTAGAGCCGTGTTTGAAACAACCGTCAGGAAATTGACATCCAACCCCGAGAATGTTCACAAGGCTAAGCCCATCTTTTCCTTCCTCCACGAGTATGAATCTCGCTACGGTGACCTCACCCAAGTGATCAACTTGGAGAACCGCATGCGCGAACTCTACCCGGAGGATCCTGCTTTGGAGCAATTCGCCAATCGTTACTCCAACTCCAACTTCGACCCTACTTCGGTGCAACTGATTTTGTCCCCGTCCCAGACAAAGCCAAAGACCATCATGCCAGGAATCCCCGCGGAACCCCACGGTTCTCCCATGGCCAGATACATGGATACCTCCCTCAACTCACCTAAGCGACCTTATCCTACTGATGAATATGATGAAGACTCCGGTCGCCCACGAAAGTTTGTACGCGCTGAGTCGCCAATGAAGAGTGCACAAGCTCGGCGTCTCGAGCAGCCGAAAAGAGTCCAACAATTGAATGGCCAAACCACCTCATACAGGCCCCAAGGATCTCCAGCTCCCCTACCTCGTGAAGTGGTGAACCTCTTGAGCATCCTGCCTTCTGCGGCTGCCTACAACATCACCCGCCTTTCTCCTGAGAAAATGATAGACCTTCTTCGCCACGTTGAAATACCTTCCGACATTTCACAAATACAGATCCCGCAAGCTACACACGGACCAGGTGGAGGCCAAACCCCGGGACTGAACCCCTACTCCGGTAAGATCATCACCTATCTCTCCCGTAATAACATTCTTACTCATATTTCATCCCTAGGTGCTTACCGTTGAGCCCATGGTTTTTATGTCCCTCTGAGGACCACCGTTTCACTTGCAGTGTAAAATCTCTTGCTCTCTGCTTTTGCAATTTCATTTCCCCGGCGCGCAAAATATCCCGATTTGTCTTTGTGGACTTGATGGCCCAGCTCTTTTTTTTCCTGGGGGGCATTTCATGAAATATGGTCGGGGCATACGCGGTTCTTTAAAGCCCCCTTTGCATCTTCCATCGGCGTTGATCTATCTGGCATTTATTTCTTTTTTTTTCTCTTTCAAATAGGGCCACAGGCCACCAATTTCTGCTTGCTGGTTGCGTCCACCCAACCATGCATTGTACAGACTCAAATTAGCAGATAATCTCACGAATAAATCAAGTAAGCACCCTGCATATTCACTCTTGTAGATTCTTAGCTATCGCTATCTAGAGAATTGGTTGATCATTTTGGCGGGGGGGGGAGGGGCAAATAAGACCGACCCTCCCTCGCCTTTGCCCGTAAGTCTTACGTCCACACGGTCTGAACACTCGCCTGGTTAACCAGTTCTTGTCTTGGGGAAAGGGGGGACTCCCCTCGGTACATTAGATATAGATAGCAAAATAGAAACGAGGATTGGGGCCCCAGGTTCATTTGGAGAGCCTGATGTGCGGTTGAATGTAACTGATATCTTCTCAGCCTAGGAGCCCTAGTAAGAAGATTTAGTCGATTCGCCTGAAAATCAAAGTCTCTCTTCTTTCTATAGGCGCTAGGAAAAGAATAATTCATTCGGAGAGCGAAACGATTCCATGGGTGGCTACCTACACAGATCGTAAATTTAAATATAAGCTTAAAGCAAATCTGCTTCGAACCGATGGTAAGAGGTGGGGCATACGTGGAAGAAGCAGGGGTACGAAGTGGGTCCCTACGTCATTTTATGCTCGATACAATATGAAGCGCGAGCGAATGTCTTTTAGCTTACACAATTGCGATAGTGATGGGGAAAAACTGGCAACTGTGGCCTCAATTTAGATACATATGTATGTTACAGACCTAAAACTGTGCATAGGATTTCCGGCCGTACTCCATAGAATTCCGACTCAAATCGCTTTCGACCTTTTCGATGGCTTGTCCTGGGGATACTGTTCTCGATGGAAGTCGGTCACACACCCATGGGGGTTATCTTCGAGATTTTCATCACAGCACGGGAAGGTGAAGCAGTGTGGGAAATCCTCGCGCATTTCCTCGGTGTCCACCTCAAACTCATCATAATTGTCCACGTAAAGATCTTCGCCAGTGGGCTCGTTGTCCTCTGTTTTGGGTTAGCTTATCGAACATAATGGATCGGGATCTCCATTTTTGCGTAGTCGTACTGGGGTGATATCGACAGTTTTCCTCCGTATTGGTGGTAACATCAAATTCCTTCTTGCAATTGGCGCAAAACGCGTAGCGCGGTACTGCTCTCTTATTGCTGTCAGAGCTCTCTTCGGTCTCGGTAGCCACTACCAGCATTTGGCTCTCGGCTTCTTTGCGAGCCTCATCATTTTTCGCGCAGATGGATTTGAGAACTGCGCGTAGCCTCTGCTCGGACGCGTTGTTGATCGCGCGACCAATAGTTGTACCCTCGAGTACCTCCTCGGTGATTGGCATGGCTGTATGTTGATTGGTTTGATTTTGTGTGACTTCGAGGTTGGCAGACTGTTAGTCTGGAAAGAGTGGGTTAGAATAGACTATATGATCTGTAGTGGAAAAAAATCAATCCAAAAATAGACAAGAGCCGCGGATATACGCGCGGGCGGGACTTCGCGTAAGGTGAACATCAACGCGAAATCGTGCCGAACAAAATTGCTAGACTAAAAAGGGATTCATAGTAGAGCAGATGAAATATACTAAAATCACTATTGTAATGTATGATGGAAATATCAAATGCATTGAGGAATTATCCAGGTTTTGCAAAACTGCAAGTAGTTTGACTAGTTAGTAAATTTCCGAAAATGGTGTTTCAGGTGCCGGGAGGTCCGGTGAGAAACATTAAAGATTAGCAAAAAAGAGTGAAAGGCCCGATAGAAGCAAAGTAACTTTTGCACGTAGACTCCCGCCAATGGTAGATTATGCCCATTTTGTTCGCCTTTTTGTTTTGCTTCGCACCGCTAGTTGGAGACTCCACGGATGCTTCCTTTGCAAAGCCACCAGTCACTCCGGAATCTGATTCATATATATTTGTGGTTTGTCTTTAGTTTGTCTTTAGGCCTTCCGTGTATCCCTGTACGTATCATAATCTGTTTGCTGACGGAAGTCGACAGTTGAAGGGACCCGATTGGACGGTCGTACCTTTAGTCCGTTTACTTCACGCTTCCATTCCGAATGGGTGTTGGCCGTTGATACTATCTTAGGTACGGCAAGAAGACCCCTTTCATCAATCTCTGTTTGACTCGCTGGTCAGTTACCTAGGCTAGAATGCCGTACACTAGACTGTCGCTCAGGTGTCCGCATGCCGAACATCATTACCAAAGCGATCGCAATATGTATGAATTTGGGTGCCGTGTAGATAGCACTGTAAAGAAGAGGCCTTGCTCCAGGCTCTTGAATAACGACCTGTAAGAATCCCTACTTAGGAAGATTGACAACTCGCACGCGGAGAGACGCAATGTGCACTAGCTCTTCCCAGGCGTATTCGAGGCGGCGGACTCCACATAATGCGCCGTCATATCATAGGAGTTCAAACAGGGCGACAGCCTGCGTGTTACCACATTCACCCCCTTGAGCATTGATGGCAGCATTTATTGTGATCTTATACCCCCATCTCGCTCTCATCCAGTTCTAGGAGGGCTGTGTAGTATAGAGCCGATGGGATATATTCGATAACAAGTTTAAAATTTGATTTCTTGCCGCTACGTATAGTCCATGTCATGCAGGCACACTCTTTTACCATTTTTACAACCCAGCATTTCTAAAAAGCACCACAGGGTTCAATTCTGCTCATATCTAAGACAGGTCTACGTATACTATATCAAATCTTCTAATGTGTTACTGGATGTGAACGATAGACTTTGAAGATCTTGAACAACACCGCCCTTCAACACTTGTAAGATTCTCGAACTAAGGCCGATTGGACTTGATTGGAGATCCTTGGCGCTTATTGGAAGATAACATGTGGTGGTGGCTGTGGGGCTTGGCATGGGGTTAAGTGTCGGAGATGATGACAGCGGAGATGCTTGGCAAAGGGTCTCAAGGATGGTACTCAATGGGATCTCAATAAACCTGGATTGTTTAAATCACATAAAATTATGCAGAATGAGATTTACATGTCAAAACAATCAAACATGATACCATTTATTTGAAATCCTCTATCTGTTTGCCCTCAGATAACTGCTTCTATCTTTGAGACAAGTCAATAGTGGGCAACCCTAGCTATGTCAAAATAAACGAGGTTCCCGAATAATCGGCACATTCTGATAGACCCGCAGATCGCCAGTATCCGGAGGATTTTCTAGGGCCCGAAAGATCTTGATCGTGGCTGAGGAAGGCAGCAGCATTTTACGATGAGGATTGATGCAGGTGGCTGACAGGCCAAGGTTTCCACAGCGGATTATGCTCATCACACCACAGAGTCAAACTCAAGGTGAGCTCCACAATAGGCTTACAAATGCAAATTGTCGTAGTTCAAACTGCACCTTTCGTTTTCGTTTAGAAGAGATCCCAGGCAGCCAAATATCAGCCATCCATGGGTCTTGCAACATGTGTGGTTCTTATTCTAGCAACGCGTCCAACTCTCACCTATTCGCTTTTCCATACTTGGCAAGTGTATTCTGTGCTTAGTCTCGGGCTTAGACCCTCCTAAAATCCTTTGACCTATTGATACTCGTTAGGTATGGATCTTTGCTTACATCTTAACCATGGCAGAGACATCATATATGATTAGACACCTGGTGGGGAGATAAATGTGGATATTAAGTATATTTCTTGATATATGTATATATTACTGCACAGTACTGCTCACAGGGAATTTGATCATACTTTGGACATCAAGACAAAGCATAATATCTGGGATGAAGACATTATCCTTTACCCTTCTAGCATTGCTTGCATTAATTGTGCCGATATCGGCTGTCGAATGTAAGTATACGATGTGTCTCAACTGTCTCAGCTAAACATAAGCCTGACCGTTTCTTATAGTTGATCCGGTGTCATTCCGTTTTATCGATCCAGTACTCTCTCCAGTGACTCATACAAAGAAATTCAACATAACGGCTGGGATTCAGACATACAATCAAACCATCAATTTTGTGTTAGAAAACAACGATGACCTCATATCACAGGACGTGCAGATCCGATATCCCGGTATTCATGGGCAGGCCAACGAGGCAGGTGCCCTGCCAGACCCGCAAGTTCGATTTACAAAAGGATCAGTCTGGATGCAGGACGCTTTTAGGGGGAGCCAGGAGAATGTCGGATGGGCAAGGCTTGCCGTGATCCAGCATGGAGAAAACCTGCTCTTCGATGGAGCCTTTACAATTATGGGTGCGCAATATGCCATCGAGCTTGAGACCCTGGATAATGGGTCTACTGCGATGAAAGCCCACGAGCACGAATCGGCATTCACAACTGGCAGCCGATCGTCACTCCCTGCGCTCTGCGCAACTGCACCCGAAACAGACCTGTATAAGAGACAGACCTGGAATGCCTGGGGTGAGAATCTCACATCAACGATCGGCAGTACTTATGGTTGTCCGAACACGAGAGAGATTGCAAATATTGGCATCATGACGGACTGCACTTACACTGCGAGCTTCAATTCCTCCGACTCTGCCCATCAATACATCCTTAATATGGTCAACACTGCATCTGTGGTATTTGAGAACAGTTTCAATATCTCTCTTGCGGTACAGAATTTGACAATAAGTGACGCCGAATGCCCGACCAGTACCTCAGACACAACTGCATGGAATGTTCCTTGCTCCCAGGGAGATCTTAACACACGCCTTCAGACCTTTTCAACGTGGAGAAGCTCCGTGAATGACCAAAATGCATACTGGACCTTGTTGACTGGGTGTTCAGTTTCTGCTGGAGAGATTGGGGTGTCCTGGATTGGAGCACTATGCAACACGGGCTCTGGCTCTATTAATGGAGGAGCTGGTGCCAATGTCGTTGCTCGAACACAAAATGAGTGGCAGGTCTTTGCGTAAGTTGCTATACCGACTGATCACAAGGTGGTGATATTTTTTAGCTGACATAGATAGTCATGAGTCGGCCCATACATTCGGAGCAGTCCATGACTGTACTTCAAGCACATGTGGAAGTGAATGCTGTCCGCTCTCATCGAATACTTGCGATGCTGGCGGCCAGTACCTCATGAATCCTGTATCTGGATCCGGTATGACGCGCTTCTCGCCCTGCACGATTGGAAATGTCTGTTCAAGACTTGGCTCTGGGCAGGTTGACGGGCGCTGCTTGGTGGACTCCCGGACTGGTAATACCACTAATACTAACGGACAATGCGGCAATGGTATTGTTGAAGCCGGTGAGGCATGCGATTGCGGAAATGGTGCCTGTAACGAACAAGAGACTGCGTGCTGCGATTCTGTCACATGCCAGTTGCGAACAGGAGATGGGTGTGGTCAGACAAATGGTGGCAACACTGGGAATACGGACAATACTGGAAACACTGGAAACACTGGAAACACTGGCAATACTGGACAAGGAGGTCGGGGAAATGGCCAGCCAAGTGATGTTTCATCCTGGGTTCAGGATCATCGTTCGTTGGTCATTGGACTTGCTAGTGGTATTGGTGGAGCTTTGTTACTGCTCATATTTGGATGCTTGATTTCTTCCTGTAGGCGCGGTCGCAGACAACCAGTGGTCACTATCAAGCCTGTTGCAATGGTCCCACCTCGATATCAACCACCACCTGGATATCAACTACCGCCTCGATATCAATAAGAAAGAAAAAAATGCATTGTTCTGTTCTGCCTCAACGTGTTCTTGACTGATATTCCCCCACCTCCGCTTCGTTGCCCATTTCGTCCGCCAGTGCCACAAACAGGTACAGGAACGTGATATAATAAGTTGAATAAAATCATCGCAATATTAGAAAGTCTTCGATGTACCCTAAACGATATCGGTTATGCTTTGGTGTCAAGTTTCGATGTGGGACGGGGCATCATCTGTGTCTTCATGGGCTGATAACTGATATCTGCCATGAATTCAATTTTCGGCCGACGCTCTTCAGTATCTCCGATGCAAGTAACGCGGCACTATTGTAAGTCAGCGGAAACAATGGAGTTTATTGGCCTCACTGTGCAGGATGTGGAGTCCAGTAAAAACAATAGTACCATCCATGGATATCCACGGGTATCTACAAGGTGTCGGCCGAACCCCGTTAACTCTAGTGGGAATTGCATTGATTACGGTGATCGGTAATAAAGCGACAATTACTCCGTATTCATGGCAATGACAATGCTCTCATGAAGGGATCAGAACATTTGTACTGAATGCTTTGATGTTGATATATGAAGGATATAAGGATATTCAGGCCCCATACTTGGCATATAATCCGTAGTTCTTGGGTTAAAGTTAATCCATGCAAAGAGAACAAGTGAAATTCTATGGAATGATAAAATGAATCAATGCCAGTAGAGAAGCTCTTTTCCACGAATGACTTCCCATCCCTGGTTTAAAGCTTCGACAACCTCCTGTGGAAGAGGACCCCCTTTCATGGCATCCATATTCTCTCTCAACTGCTTAGGACTACTAGATCCGATAACAACACCATCTCCATTTTCCTCATTTAGCTGTGAGTGATGAGATAGCCACCTTAGGGCACACTCGATCTCGGTGAGACCGTGTTTTTGCGCAACCGGTCTAATAATCTCAAGCGCATCGAAATCCGCCTCTTGATAGTATCGCCGACGAGTGAGGGCTCCAGGACCAGTGTTCGGGTCAAACCTTCCCCCAGCTGTAGCTTCAGGCTTGTCGCGAGAATAACGACTGGTCAACATACCCGCAGCCAGCGGGTTGAAGCAGTAGAATGCAATACCGTAGTGTCGAAGGCACGACAACAGCTCTGGCTCGACAGCTCGGTGGAAGGCATTGTATATTCCTTGACAAACGCTGGGTTTGATCCAACCATTTCTCTCGGATATTTCACACAGTCTGGCTACTTCCCAGGATTGATAGTTACTGATTCCCAGTTTCTCAAAATACCCTTCCTGGTACAGCTTGTTGACTTCGCAGAGAGTTTCTTCGAAAGGAACTGTCCGGTCCGGGCTGTGGAGGTACCATATGTGGACCTTGGGAACTTTGAGGGCTTCTAGACTTCGCATCAAGCCAAGACGTAGATCATTGGCATTGTGATGGTATGGAGCTGCCACCAAGGCCATTTTTGGGTTGGCTGCTGAGGGAAACAGTTTGGTGTCAAGGTTCATATCGGTCAACTTCAAGTTGCCCAAGAATGTTTCAGAGGACCCGTCACCGTAGATGCGAGCTGTATCGATGTCGACATGACCGTAGCTTTTAAACAGATCGACCATCTCTTTAGCTTCTTCCAGGGTGTGGACGCGAGTCCGGCCATCACCTTTTCAGACCGTTAGTCAATACGTCCGTTGGATCAGATTGTGGGATGTTGGTTTACCTGGCTCGCCGATGTTCATAGATCCGAAAATAAGCTTCATCGCGCAATCGGGAATCCGTAATCTTGAATCTAGAATGTGGAATGTGGATTTTGCCAAGGTAATAATATTGAGTATCCTTCCTTATATAGAGAAACAACTACATAGGTACCAATACCCCCCCAGTTCAGTTCGGCCGAAGTCCTTACATAAACCCGATGCCCAGGGCCCACAGGCGGAGCTTGATTACACGCTAACTGTGGGTCTAGTGTATGGGTGGATACCTTCCTATAGGATGGCGAACAACATCGATGGATCAAGTTTAACCCATAATCTTTAACTGGAACAGGCTGATAAGGCACTGATAAAGCACTGATAGTTTCTGTATGGTTCGGAGATTGCAGTTTATCTTGGAAGCGAGAAATTAGTAGTGCAACCGTTTTCGAGTATATTATTCGGAGGACGCATATGGGACTCTGCACCAGGTTAACACATCTCAGCAAAGGAAACTTTCCAAGCGGTGTACTTCTCCCCTCTGACCCGGTTAAAAGATTAAAGATTCACAGTGAAGATGAGTTTGATGTCAAGTTAGGCAGTGCTCCTTAAAATGCAGAGCCATTTCCTTTGAGACAGTTTGTGCCTCATCTCTCTCTCTCTCTCTCTCTCTCTCTCTCTCTCTCTCTCTTTCTCTATTAGCTAGCTCTATGCAACCAATGGTTTTCTTTCCCTAAACTCATTTTTTCTTTCACCCTAGTGCTCCTACTTTTCTATGAAATATGTCAAACTCCGAATATGGTCCCCCGAGGCCTTAAACAGGAACCTTGGTTTTTGTTGTGGTCTAGTGGTAAAATACAATAGTTATATTTAATCAGGTACTAGACTATGTGAACAATTCCAGCACGCTTCTGCTCGTAAATCATGAGAGTCAAATGGAATTATCGGTAAGCTTGGTGGCCTTTTTTAAAGTGGATGAGGCTTTATTCCCTCCCTACCTACGGAGTAACTAGGTAGTACCTAAGATTACGTTGATTAGATTTTTGACACGCGAGCCGTCCCGAATGTTCCACTAAAGCACCTTGGGTGCGAATAGAAAGACGGAGAAGTAAGCGACGCCATCGACTTTGCCCGGCCGCGACTTTCGCATCATATGAAATACATTTAATTCAAAATTTTCGGGCTGGAGCCAGTATCCCTTTACCGATACCTATGGGTCGGATCGCGAGGTGCTGCCAGGGTTGGGGTAACTTTAGCTCCTGGGGTTCTGGGGAATCAGGTTGAAATGTTGAGGACCTGACCACTTTAGTGAGAAGTTAAGAGTCTCATGAAAACTAGAGCTACATCTTTTCGATCAGGTACTTGTAGGCGCTGTAGAAGGCCATCCTATTCATGTCAAGCTCATGAGTGCACTGTGTTAGGTGGGCTTTAATGGTAAATTAATACGGGGCGTGCTCACCTTTACTCAGAGAGCAAAAAGCGGCAAGGGGTGAGCACTGAAGCAGAAAGACAAAGCCATGTCGTGCGGTCTAAAATCCGATATATATATATGTATTGTAGTCAGAGACATAGTCCTCACTACATATTCACCTAACCCGTCCCTTTTTATTTTACGGTTTTTTACAGTTTCGTCATATAAGTATTGATGTATAGAGGATATAAGTAGTAGATCCATAGTAACAGGTTGACAACGCACACTCCTATACCTCTCTGAATTCACCTCTTAGACTGGCGTCCTAATTTTCTTTGTATGCCCTAGTCAGTACATGGGGGGACCCCTAATATCACTAACAAAATTACGATTTTCAGCTTTTTTTGCTCCACAAAGTTATATGACAGGTTATTTTTGTAGCATTTTATATTTTAATTTACTCAAAAATTAATATATTATGCATCCAAATTTTCTTCGTTAGATTTTTCCCCGTCGACTTTTTCACCGATAAAATTCGTGGGATTCATTTTTATCCAGCTACAAGAAGTTACTAATCGTCTCAAGTGAAAGTGCGAGATATCTAAGTACCCAGGTACTTAATATTATTAGGCAAATACTACTATAAGCAAGTACTTTTACCTTACATAGGCCGGACTTTGATTGCAGTTGTATAGTTAGGATAATCGCTGATATATTTCATAGCTATACTATATCAGGTATCTCTATAACTTTTAGAGATTGCTACTACCCTACAAGAAGTTACTAATTATATCAAGGGAAAGTGCGAGATATCTAAGCACCAGGTTACTTAATGATGTTAGGAAAATGCTAATATAATCGAGGAATTCTAGTTCACATAGGTCGGAATTTGACTGCAGTTATGATCATGTTAAGTTAAAGTGCGAGATATCTAAGCACTAGGTTACTTAATGTTGTTAGGAAAATGCTAATATAATCGAGGAATTCTAGTTCACGTAAGTCGGACTTTGACTATAGTTGTGATACCTAGGTAGTCAGGGTAATCGCCTAAATATGTATTCATGTAACTATGCTATCTTACCTAGGGCGTGTTCATGGTTTCTTAAAATTGTTCCTGCCCTAGAAACCTCAGGTAATCTTAGGTACCAAAAAAGGCAGGCGCTACGCACCCATTCATTCCCAGAAGGAACACACCTGCCTCACCTGCGTCGCCTACTACGCCTTCTCTATAAAAGCACCTCCCCTCCTCGGTTTCTTCCTTCTTCCTTTCTCTCTCTCTCCGTCACTCGCAATCACTTTGTCTTCAGCAATTCAAATTTCTGCATTTGTCTGCATACTCCTTAGCCGAAGACATTTCTCACTTTGACGTTTAACGCGTTTGACTTCCTCTGTGATCCCCCAATATCATTTTCCACGTCAATCACCTCTAACTCACCGAAGCTTTTGAATCTGTGTAAGTGATCACTCTTATACCTTGGCCTTTTCTATGCCGAGTCCCAGCGACGAGAAAACAAACTGTTTCTGCTTCGATTTACATCGCCGAGCAGTATGACTACTTAGGTGTCATAACAACCTCACTTTGTTTCAACTGCCTTACTTCCTCACATCTTGAGAACTAAAAGGAAACCAAAGAGAAATGAATCATTGACTAGCAAAAGGGCATTAATAGAAGCGTCATCTTATCATGGGTCCAAAAAATCCCGTGAAACCCTCGAAGGAGGATGATGAGCATAGGTCTCGTTCCGGGCACCGCTCTACCACTTCGTCGAAGCTCCAATCTACCCCCACGTCTACTGCTGCTACGAAGACATCTTCAAAGCCCGCTCACTCTTCTTCATCCTCTCGTCAGCCCAAGCTCAGTCTTGAACTTCCTCTACGTCCTTCCGCTCCTGTAGCAAAGCCTCTGGACCCACGCCAGGCCCAAGAGCTGCGTGACCACAAAGCTAAATTGGACGATGACGCAAGACGCAAAAAGGAAGCAGAGAGCACTGCTTGGATGCGTCGAACTCGATACGACCCTGATTCGGGCGAGCACCGAAAGCCTAAGAGCACTGGTTCCAGTAGCAGTGACTCCCCTATCCGTCGAGTCGAGACCCCTCCAGAATTCCCGCCCAACTGGACTGCGGAAGAAAAGGCCAACTATGAGCGTCTTGCAAGAGAAGGAGTGAAAGTGGCTGTTTTTGAGCAGCACAGGCTCGACCAAGAGAAACTTATTCGGCACAAGGATTACATGACAGTTGCCTGGGATGGCTGCAAGAACATCGACATTCCCTGGCATCGGTTCAAAGTCAGGCCTTCTTCAGTAAGTCTGCGACCGAAAAATTCCCGACAACTCTACATCTGTAGATAATGAATTATGCTAACCCTTTGTCAGTCTGCGCCAGAAGAGACTCACATTCAGCGTCGTGTTGGCTACAATACTTCTGGTAAAGAGGTCGAGGTCATGATGAACGCGTACCCGATCACTTCTTTCCCGGACAAGGCGGTTTACCAATATGAGGTGAGTGTTTTTCACCCCTGTCCAATGTCATTGTTTGCTCATCAATTAATAGATAAATGTTCTACACGGAGACCAAAATGAGACCGACAGGCGGGTCCTTAGAAAGTGCTGGAACAGTGAGACTCGTAAGGCACACATTCCTGATGGTATCTGGGATGGCGGAAGAATCTGCTGGTGAGTATATTATATTTTGATTGCTGCTATATATCTGCTAACTTGTTGTAGGTCGCTGCGTAACTTTGACGACTGGAATGAAATTATCGACTTCAAGGGTGACTTGACCCGAGACATCAAGACTCTTGCTACTGTTGATGAGTTCAGGAGGAACCCTGCTTTCAGAATGTCCGTCATTCAAAAGCGAAAGATCAACCTGTCCGTGATCAACTCCTGGCTGCAAAACCGCCGTGATCTAGATGAGCTCGTGATTGAATCTCTGAGTAAGTACACCCTCATTTCATGTATTGCTCTGTTTTTGATTCATCCAGCTGATAATGGTAGGTTTTCTCGATCATTTGCTCCGTGAATGGCCCACCAAACAATTCGCTGCAATTAAGCGGGCCTTCTTCTTCGACAAGCTTGGAGATGACGAGGAGCTGAAGCAGGAGTTTTACCAGCCGCTCGCCAATATGGGTGCTTCCGTTTACCGAGGCATCTACCAAGCAATTAAGCCAACCCCTGTGAGACTCCATCCGTTGATTCAAATTAAAGATTGGAAGACTGACGTTTACTCATAGCAAGGTCTGATCCTCAATGTTGACGTTGCTCACTGTGTCTTCTTTTCTCGTATTAGTCTTATGGGCTACATGATGAATGTGAACGGGTGGAACGATATGTCGACTCTGGTCAGGAACCTCCAGTCAACTCGTGACGAATATGGCGGTACGAAGGAATCGAGGTGGTTTGCACAGGTGAACAAGAAGATCCAGGGTCTTCGAGTGGCACCCAACTACGAGGGTTGCCCCTTCAAGATGAAGAGTTTCATTGTCAAGGGCTTGATTCATGCAAAGCCCAAGGAGTTTTTCATTGACTATTCCGACAAGGCCACTGGAAAGTCTACTCGAATTCACCTTGAAGAGTACTTTATGAAACGGTACAACATCCGCCTCGAATATCCCAACATGCTCTTGGTCGAAATGCAAAAAGAAGATGTCCATTACC